GGGGTTATGTTTCCCCTTTTCCAGTCTTCTCCGGTTCCTTTTTAAGTACGCATTTAAAAAATATAAAATTGCTATGCTCAGTTAAAATTTACTTTCTAGCCCAAACGACCATCTGGTATATAAAAGCTGAAGTTGTGGTTCATGTTTTTATTTTTAAAAGGGAAAGAAAAGCGTTAGGGGAAAAACATGTTGCAGACCTACAACATAAAAAGCTTTATGTGGCATAAGTAGTACAGTGCGTGTACTAACACTTTGATGGCAGAAGTGGTGCGCTACATATTTTTCTTGGAAGCCCTTGCTTTTACACTGGCTTATACTGAATCACATAAAAAATAAACCAAAGCATACGCAGCTTTGTTGCAACAAACACTCTGTTTATATGCTGCAATATCTATATAGCGATGAAATAGGCAATATGCTGGCAGTGTTTCTTTTCTAATGGCTGTTCTTAGGAGATATAAAATGGTACATAAAATTAGAAGATAGATACATATTGATCTCTCTCTCCCCCTCTTTTGTACGTTTTTTTCTTAAAGTTTGTGTTTATAGAATGCTACAAACTATCGGCTCTTGCATATAGCAGACTGCAGCTTCTTTGTAGCACATATGAATAATGAAAGTTCCAAAAACTTCTGGGAATTCAAAATAATTATGTATTTTTTGTTTCCATGGAGTGGGACATAGTCAGCAGAATACCACCTTGAGTCCTTTGTGGTTTAGGAGAAGAGGATATGCACCTCTGAATTTGGCATAGGCATCAGTGACAAAATATAAGTACTCTACAAATACTGAAAAACCCATGGATGTTCTTCCATTAATGGAAATTCTCAGAACTGCTTGTAATGAAATCCAAAAGAAAAGGAACAGGTTTGGGAGGGTCTGCAAGGTTCCCACAGGGAAATGGGGCCTGAAGGCTGAGCTACAGAGGAGAATTTCTGATACTTGTTTGCACATAACAAAATTGGCCTGTCTGCTCTGCTTTCCATGTCAACTCTTGGTGACTGGTTTTTATCCAGTTTCCTGAAGTCAAGGATGGAACCTGGATTTAGAGCCTATGCACCCAAATGCATCCAAGTAGTATTACAGTTTGCCTTATTTCCTAACTAGCTGTAACGTCCGCTGCTTGTTTTTTGACTAGCCGTCCTTGAGTAACTAAGCAGCACTGCCATTTAGCTTATTAGTTGTTCTCATACAATTGAGATCCAATTGGAAGGGAAACTAAAGACATGCTGTTCAGATTTGCAGAGTGGTGTGAAGCTTTGGAGCAATATTTTTCAGTTTGTTGCACTGAGCTTTGTCCCTAAGGGAAATAGCAATTCTCTGATGCTATCTGCTAAATGCAAAATTGGAGAAGTCAACGATTTCCAAATGTTTTTAAAACTTTTCCATCAGACTTTCTGGATCTTGCAAAGTGAGCTTTGATTTTTGCTTGACACAGATTTGATTACTCTGTATTTATTTTTAGGGACAGGGAATTTTCAGGTCTTTCCTTAAACCCTCAAGGACTTGTGAGTCAGAGTTACTTTATATCTGACAAGCAGACAGCCTTGGTTAAAAAGTCACTTCTACAGTTATGCTTTTATAGTTACTATCCTAAAGAGAGTTTGAATTGTATGGTTACATCATGTCATACTTTCAGTTTTTTGCAATCTAGGGAGACATACTGCAGCAGTGTTTGTATAAATATTGTTTAACTCAGCAAAATGCTACTTGGATTTTTAAATTTCTAAGTATGTTAGAAAATGTCATGAGTTATGTTTATTATTTACCAGCTGGGGATTATTTTTTTGAGTCATACTAATGAATCTGCATTAATATTAAATTCAGTTGTGGAGATCAAAGACAGCTAGATATGATGCAATCGCGTTGCCTCTTCTTGCTTCCCTACTTGTCTGCTGCTGGCTGCAGAGAACGGAATTCCTTCATCACACAAACCTGATGGGCCTACAGGGAAGGAAAAAAAAGTCAGTCTTTGAATTGTTTTCTTGACTTTGAACTAGTTATTGAACAGTATTAGTCAAATAATAAGAAAAGAAGTGTCCTTTCTGTGCCTACAGAGGAGGTCCTGCTCTCAGAAGTCAGTTCAGTGCTGCAGGAAGCACTGGTTGTAGTCTCTGAGCTGGTGGCTTGTGCCAGTTCAGTGACATGACTTTCTTGCACCTAGGGAGCAAATATAGACTGTCTGCATGTTTTGCTTCAATGAAATCCTTTATTATAACAGCTGGTAGCATATTACGTCTTTTTGTCATTTATAATTTCAAACAGAATTTGGAATAGTATTTTAAGAGTTTAAATTTAAATTAAAAAAATTACCATGAAAATATTGTAGAAATAATAATTTATATTGGCCTCACTACATTCTACCCTTGTTCAGCTGGAGTCTAGGGTCCTGTTCTAGAAATCATCAGATGACTTTAGAAAGGCTCCAGTAGCCAGGACATGGTCACCTCTTTGCCTTGTCTTTGCATGCAGGTGCCTGCAGTTTTCTTACGTATTTTCTCAGAAGACATGGAAGAGCTCCCGGTACAGTGCAGGCGCTTTGGAGGAGTGGGAAGCTATCTCACTCCATACCCAGAGACAATGTGATGGTAACACATCTGTCATCACTGCTGCTCTGCCACAAGTGTTTTAGGATAAAAATGCTCATGGTTGGGGTTGACCTGAGATTCTCTCAATCCAGGCCTATATGGAAATCTCAGCCTCTCAGAACTTCAGAGAGTTGGGATGTCATTTTATGTTGGTTTTAGTGATACAAGAAAGGAAACATTTTTAAATTCTACATAACACTCCCAAATAATACAATTAATATGGCTAGAATATTCTTATTTTATATAACAAAATTTGTAGACAATGTAGATTTTATCTTATTTCCAATGCAGGGATTCACAGCTGAGTTGCTTAAGCATTTAGCTATGTTCATAAGCTCTGCATGCTACTTGTGAGTTCAGATATATTACTTCTTGTATGTCCAGTACTCAGAAGAGTTAACTTAAATCTTTTGGATGAAGCTTCAAGTATCAGAATCCATAACATTATGTATCAAATTTCCTTATTTGTCCTGATTTACTTTATGTAAATCCGTAATAAAAACAGAGGTACTTTATGTTGAGCCAGCAAGTTGAACAGCAAATGAATAAATTCACTTAGCGGTGATTGCTACCAAATGGAAAGGACTTTCACAAGTTTCATAGGTAGCACATGAGAAAATAATACAGCTGCACAAGATCTGGATGGATCTGCTTTTCCTGGACGGCAACATCTACTACTACCTCTTCGGGGCATGAAATGGCATTGGATTTGGCATTTATTAACTTTGCAGAATGCAAGAGAACAACAAATAGATTTTTGAAGTACATCAAGAAGCAGATTAGGAAGCTATATGTCTGTATTGAGCCAAGCGGGTGGTATGTCTGATAAGGCTGTTGGTCTCTGAGCTCTGTTGTGCTGTCATTTGCTGCCCAGTCCTACTTGCATGAGTAACTAGTATTCTGTCTGAGTTCGGCTTGTGGTATTGGACCTCTAATAAATAAAATGTAGGACTGTCCTGAGAAAAAATCCCGTGCAGAAGCCAAAGGAGTTGTCCAAGTTTTGGGTGGGCTGCTGATGTCAGAGAGGAATGTGCCCAACGGTTGTGGGGTGAAAAGCAGATTCAGGGAACTGACTTGTAAGTGTTTATGTTGGCTTGGTGCTCAGACATTCCTTCTCCTCCTCACACCGGTTCCCAGCTGTGCTTCTCCCAGTCTTACCAGCTTCCTTAAGAATGTTCCTAGGGGCTCTCTTCGCTGCTCCCACAGATGTCCATACAGAAACAGTTGATCAAATGCTTAGTAAAGCAAGTACAGGCTTCTTTTATGCCTCCACTCTGTTCCACTCAAGTTTATACTCAGATGTGGTGACCTGCAAGCTATAGGTAGGGCCTAGGAATACAGAGAAGCATTTAAAAAGGAGTAAAATAGGTTTGCTGGAATGTTGAGTGGTAGTTTTCTCTCTTCATTCATTATTATTTTTTAGGTTTGTTTTGTGGTGGTTTTTTTTTGTTTTGTGGTTTTTTTTGTTTTGTGTTTTTTTTGTTTTGTTTTTTTTACAATGTATCTTTGTGAAAATACTCTGCACTCGGACAGACTGACCTTACCTCTCATCGCCCAATAAATCAGGGTACTCATAGCATCAGTTGTAAAATATCCTGTTTCTTAGTCAAATAACTCTATCACTTTAAAGACTTTGGAACTGAAAGCCTTACAGTGTTTCATCTTTCTACCAAAAAAAGTCTTCATGTGCTTTTAACGTTAATAATGGAGCGATATAATTTACCATCCTCTGTCAGATTCCTGGCTTTGCCGAGTCAGGCTTTCTTCACACAGGAACTCAGGTTACAAAACCTCCGTGGCAGAAAGCCTGTAACGGAGGGCTCTGCAGGGCATGTGTTTCACTGGAGCTGGTGTTTCAAAGCCTAGCTTCTAGCTCTGCAAAGCAGGGAGGCCAGCAACAGCTTACTGGGCTGGTGTTGCTCTTGGGTGTCCTCTGCCAGAGGCAGTCCTACTGAGCTACACTGGAAGACTCATGCCTCCTCCCGTGTGAAACTCTTGGCTCCAGCAGTGTTGTTGCTGGTGGAGTTCTGTCCATGCGCAGCACCTCCACAGGTGAACAAAACCCTCTGTATCTCCACTGGCAAGTGGAGGGGTATCAGTGGCCTTTGTCACCATGGCATAAGTTTTCCTGGAAACCTCTAAAACCTCTGGTTTCAATAAATTTTGTTCTGTTGCAGCTGAAAACATGTGAATCTTCTTGACGAAACCAAGGTGCTTTTATTCCTTATGCACACATTTATGTGGAAAATGTGAAAAAGTAAATACCCTTTGTAAAAGTGTTCTGATCTACCAGTGGCCACTATTCCTGACAAAAATCCGTCCCTGGAATAGTCTTAGCATGCTTTGTTAGCTCAAATTCTGGGTAAGTTTTTTATTCCTTACTCAAATCACTCCCTTTATCTGGAGGATACTCTCTGGCTGGTTGCAATCCAGTG